ATTTAATAGTAATAAATTAATTAATATAATTAAATTTTTTATTAATATATATAAATAATTTAAAACACTAATTTATTTAAAATATATATATAAACATGTATATCAGGGTATATAAATATTTCACATAAACTTACTACAAGTTTTGGCCCTTAGTCAACTTTTAATATAAGAGTCGACTCTTTTCCCAAAAGAGTTAGCTTTTAAAAGAATAGAGTCGACTATACCCACCACTGGGAACTTTCCTTATTTTCTAGAATTTGGTAGTCGAATGTTGCTCATTTATAGTCGAATCTTAGAGGCATTAGAGTCGACTCTTTATGTATATAGTCGATTCTAATCTGCAGCAGGATGCTTGAACCTCTCTGGAATTTAGGAGTCGAATGTTGATCCTATATAGTCGACTCTTGGAGGATTCAGACTCGACTCTTCATTCATAGGGTCGACTCTAACCTGCAGCAGGATGCTTGAACCTCTCTGGAATTTGGGAGTCGAATGTTGATCCTATATAGTCGACTCTTAGGGGATTTAGAGTCGACTCTTCATTCATAGAGTCGACTCTAACATGCAGCAGGATTCTCGAACCTCTTTGGAATTTGGGAGTCGAATGTTGCTTTTATATAGTTGACTCTTGGAGGAGTTAGAGTCGACTCTTTATGTACAGAGTTGACTCTAACTTGTAGCACATGCTCGAACCTCTCTGGAATTTGGAGTCTAATGTTGCTCTTATATAGTTGACTCTTGGAGGGTTGATAGTCGATTCTTGATGTATATAGTCGACTCTAACATGCCTGAAATGCTCGAACCTCTCTAATATGCCCTAACTTTTGTACTTGTTCTTACTACACTTTGATTTTACCATATCACATTACATACAATGTCATTTATCATATCACATATTTTCAATTCATCACATTATTATAAATATGTACCACTTATATAATTCCTTCATCTCATAATCATAAATTAAAAGATAAGTATATAAGTATCACTTGCAACATTTAATATGACCTTTTACATATTCTAAACTTGCAAGTCATAATAATACAGTTAATATAAAAAATAAACCATTCAATTCCAATTGACATATACACCCATGTCCTAACAAGTTCAAATCACCCTTCCAAAAACTAAAAGTATTTCTCAAGTATCAAGAACATGCCAAGTTTTGCGTTCACAACCTCATGCACACTGATCATTCAGGCCCAAATGGACCTTGGTAATCTGCATCAAATCTCGGTTGGTAACCATAATTATCTTGTGGGGGATTGGCTAAAGATGTACTTGGAAATCCTGATTGTCTCCCCATTTGGCCCATGGGGAATGCAGGTTCTATTAGCATTTGCATTGGCATTGCATGAGGAAATGATGGCCCACTAGCATGAAACGATGGCCTAACAATAGGGAATGATGTCCCTACAAGAGGACATGCTTGCCCATTGTGAGGCAATGATGGGATAGCACTAGGCGGGCGCATCCTGTAGGCACTAAAAGCAGCAAATTGCTGCGATAGAGATGCTTGCATCCTCCCCATGTCTTCTAGCATCCGTTGCATTGCTTCTCGTTGCTCTTTGACTTGCCCTATTTCGTCTCACATCATTTGCATTGCCTCCCTATCTTTGGTTTGTTTTTCAGCCATGTTTGATATCATCAGGCTCACATATGAAGTCCCCGTTGGTTGTCGTTTTCTATATGTAAACCCAAGTTCCTCTGGGTTTACCTGTGAACCAATTCCTGGCATGAAATTACTGTGGCATCCCCCAACAGCAGTTGCCCAAGCGTCATTGTCCCAAGGTGGCTATGATGCTGAGTCCGAGCCATATGTAGTAGAGCACTCACTGATATATGTATCCTACAAAAGTAATGCAAAAAAAACTACAACATATAATTGCAAATTTTTAAATGTTGTATATGATGAGCCTAAATTTCATACAATTATACATGGCTTTTTAGTCATGAATTGTAGTGTGTTATATTTTATTGGAACAATTTTATTTGGTTTTACATTGCTTTTATCATTCTTTGTAGGTAGAGGGTAAAACTAAAGAAATTGAGAGTAAATGGGCTGAAGTGACAAAAGT